GGATGTAAATGTATTAGTTTGAACCTATCAGTACCTAATGGAACGAATAAATTAAGACGAACAAAATAATTTTTAGTTCTAAATGTTGACAATAGATGGCGTTAGTAGTATTTTAAAACGCGCTATCGATGTGTTTTCACTGAGTTACATATACCCGATGATGAGTGGCCGCCGTATCTAATAGTACATACTATACCTAAATATTTCTAGCGGATTATATTTGACGGGGGTTAATTAGGTATAGTTTTTGCGGGGATTATATTGTACCCTTTGTACATAGTTGTACAAAGAAGTTTTGTAGGCCCTAATTTTTTACACACGCTAAACGAAAGTAAAGCCGCAAAAACTATACCTAATTAATAATAATACTTCTTAACGCGAGCGAAGCCGCGGGCAAAAGCTAGTACAGTATATGCAGCAAATAGCATTATTTGTATCAAAATATGAAGTTACAAAATCAATTTAAAAGTTTATCTAGGTAGTCCCAATGGCGGCACTTCCGGTCGCCATCTTGTTTGTGGACAAATAAGATGGCGACCGGTGCAGCTACTTACTACACCGAGATTTAAAGAAATAATCTTTCACTCACCATTGACATATTTATAATTCCTTTTCTCCGATTTATTCGGTATAATACAAGGTTCCGATAATTCTATCGTAACTTTTGTCCTTTTCCATCGTAGAAACTTTTTCCGCATTCTTAACACACGTCTACATTCTTACGATTTTCGGATTTATTTGGCACTTACTTTCAAGACTGAAGGTACTGTACAATATCTGGCTCTTTCCAAACTAAAACACGTCTCACTCCTGGATAAAACTTACTCGTTGCTGAACAAACAGGTCGAACCTTTCTCCTAGTTGTTTTCATATTTTGCTCACAACAATCTCTTCGATTTTGATAATCGTTCCAGGTCCATCCAGTTTTCGCCGGTAAAATTAGACGATGTAGCAATCATAATGTGTCGTATGAAATTCGTCCATTCAACACCTGTTCGACTATTCACGCCCATAGCCAAACAGCTTACGTTCAACGTGCATTCTATGCAAATTAGACGCCAAATAAACAAAAAAGTAGTTCCCCAAGAAAATTTCCCAAATTTACGTTTAAAAATTACTTCAAATGACGAACTGTTCATCTTGCATTTGTGACATCTAAAAGAAACAGAATCACGATCCTTTCGATAATTTAATTTACGACGACAATCACATCTCGAACAAACTGCATCTGCAGGTTGCATACCAAACTTTATGACAAACATACCGACGCATTTCTCTTGTCACAATTAAATTCCGATATTATAAAATGAAAAAAAATCCCTTCAAGCACACTTTTGCAAAAAAAAAAAAATCGTTGATGTTTTGCTAGCTCCGCCATCACAGCAATAAACGACAAAATATGAATTATAAATTTCGAAAAAAAAAGATTCACACAACAATACATAACGTTATGAACCTAAACATTTAAATTACTCTTAACATTTATAAAATGTTAGAAAATTATTCTAGTACTGAATTAACGTTAGAAAACTTGTAAACTAAAGACAGCGACACCTAGATTAACTTTCGAAACACGCATGTTGTCGAGATTCCGGAAGTGCCGCCATTGGTAATACCTAGGTAAACTTCTAATTCTTAAATCATCACTTTCCTGGAACTGCCAGAACAATCTTACACCTTTGGCTGACGAATTTTTACAATTCACTGCCAAATACCAAATCATAAAAAAAGATAATGACGACTAATTGAAATGAAAAAACACAATCAAATTCGCTCTAGAAACACCATACACACGTCCTTAAAAAATCCAACATGGCGACTGCCGCGATGCATCATGGTATCGTGTGTTTGTAGACCTTGGTCTGGTTACAGTGGCTAGAAAATATAGTGTCGAAATCGAGCTTATTTTCTGTCCCTATATTGGAGGTTGCCGCAAGAGGCGCTGCTGTCAATCGTTGTGCTACACTGGCTGTATCATCCTAAGTTTATATTGGTTTTAAGTGGGATTTTTAAGCATAGTAAATGTGCTGTAGCCAAGTAAAAGAATTTAGATCGATAATAAATCATATCACTAGCAATCAATTATTATATAGTATTACTTTATTAACATTTATGAAGGAATTCATTTTATTAAAGCTAATTAAGATTCTTATTAAATCAAATAGCCTACACTGTATTGTCTATTTTTACATTACAGCTGTTGAGTGCTGTACAAACAAGTATTATTTAGAGTACAAGAGTAATCTACTCTTGTTATTACCTTATTAACAACAAGGTTTATTCATATTTACTAAAAAAATACAGAATTTATCATATTTTTAATAATAAAATGTAAGTTTTATATGGCTTTGTGAACCTCTTCCACTGTGAGGGCCTAAAATAGAATTTATTAAGCAAATGCCATCAGTTACATAATACTGTATACTGTTCACAGTATTATGTGACATAGTATAAAGCAATATTAAAATTACAATTAAATTCTACACAGTATATAAAATATAAAGGCAGAATGTTACTTTATTGTCCCAATATAAAATTACAAAATTAAGTATGTACAAATAAACGATTATTAGTCTACTGCCAAGTACCCATGCATATACACTTTATATTTGAAAAATCTCTCTTAAAAAATTACAGATTAATATGCATGTAGATTTCTCACCCTTTTCGACAAAAATAAAAGAATTAAAAATTACAGTAGAGTAATATCTATAAATTAGAAATACACAAGTCAGTAAAGTTTCTGTTCAGCCATTTCCTAAGGATTTATTCACTTTACAAGCACAAATTTAATCGCTTTCGATGTTCTTGTAAGAAAGGATATCACGTAGCCAAAGCGAAAGTAGCACTACGATTGACATCAGCGCCACCTTGTCTGTGACGTCACTAACCTCGATGTATGGACCGAACGGTTATGATGGAGGAATATAAGCGCTTTCGACACTATATTTTCTAGCCACTGTAGTCTGGTCACGTTTCTTTAAGCAGCGCCATCATGTAGCGAATCGTTTCTATGTTGATTGAATGCAAATGCTTTTATTCATCTCGCCCTTTATTTATATATAGTTGTAACGCATATTCGACATCGTTTTATTGTTGTTTTCTATAATTTTATAAAGGAAAAAATTCCAATGAAATAAAAATCTGTAAAATAGAGTAGTTCGATCTTGCAATCCAATTATTACTCATTCATAAGTCAATATCGACGATTAATTTGAAGCTTTTTTCATCTTCAAGAGGCTTTCAAATACTGAAATTAATCGAAAATCTGTTATGTAAACGTATGTCTACTATGTTTATTGTCAGGTTATAATGGTAAAATCTAGACATTTAGACATTTTAGAAACGACTTAAAAAATGTTCTAGGTTTGTTGTGAGTACAGTATATTAGTAGAGTAACCAAAAGGCGTTTCTTATTTCATTAAAAATATACGCATCGGTATGTCTGACAATATAAAACTTTCAAAAGAAATTTGCGTGCTATTGCTCATCAGTTCAAGAGGCCATAGCGCAACAAAGGCTCACTCACTATCTCATCTGCAAAGCGTTCATGAATAAAAGTCAACCCAGCTGTTGCAAACGTCAAAGGGCCGATAGTGCAGAAGACAATCTGCGTTTGTTTGGCATCAATACGGAGCTGCTTGCAACCAACATCATTGTATCGAAATAACTGTACTATAAACAATTAGATCGCTTGAACACCAAGACGAAAGAATTTTTTCCAAAAATTGTCAGTCTGACAACGCGCCAGCATGTAAACATGACCTTAGAGAAGCTGGCCAGTCTGGGCTGGGAGGTTCTTCCTCATTCATATTAAAGCCCGGACTTTGTGCCAACTGACCATTTACTTCGCATCCTGCAAAACCATACTGACAACATACCGGCCAATGAAAAGATCTGCCGCTGAAGACTGACTTCAAAGAAAAATCCGGCATTCTATACTCATAGGTTTGAAAATTTGCAGCAAAGGTGGCGAGATGTGATTGATATTGATAATGTTTACCTACTAGGCCGAACTTTAAATGCTGTTGCCATATATACATATATTTTTTTTCAAAATGTCTAAATTTCACCGTTACAACTTGATAGGTGTTTGTGTGACGTATCTTAGACATATTTCAAATAAAATGTCATTTTTGTGACAGATAAGTGAGAATTTTCGAATACAAATTTATTTGAATTAATCGATATAAAAAGTTAAACTACCAATACATTAAACAATGTCATTAAATCGCAACAATTTCCGCGATTATCTTGTTGTTTCCTTGGATGATCGATTGTGTAATAATCGCCATGAGTAAAACGAAATCTCAAGATAAACATCGTTTAGTTAATTTCGTTCACGAAGATCTATTATGGTAATATCGAATATTCTTTCTCGTAATTTTGTTCATTACATACATTATTATTTTTTAATAGGAAAGATCAGATTCATCGCGAAGAGGCCGCTGCAAGAGAATGGCCTAATAAATGGGGTTCGATTAAAGATGAATGCTTAAGAGTAATTTTGCGATGTTTACGTTGAATTTATTTTTTATCCGTAAATTAATTTCGTTTGTATATAACAGCTGCAACAAGAACTGCTAAAGATTCCAGCGGAAACTAGTGAAACAAGATGCGAGTATAGCTATCCCTTCTGTTTAGATGGAGGGGAGAAACAATCAGAAGATGGAGAGAAAGGGAAAATAATTATTCCCCCATATCCGAACACCAGTTCCAGAATGATCGGATGGTTATCCTCTCGATCCGAACTTAACCTTGAGATATTTGGCAACTTAAGGGAGGAGGAACGAATCCTTCCACCAAAAGTTGGAATGGCGGTCCGGAACAATATTTAATTAATTTGGAGAAGTAAAGAAAAATTAAATGTATCGAATTTATTTTCCGAATTGAAAATTTGCATGTGATCAATCGTCATCGTCGTTGTCGTCGTCATCGTCGTCGTCACCGTCATCTTCGGACGATTCCATTTCGGAGTCGTCATCCTCGTACTCTACTTCCGGTCTATTTCTGTTAACGAAGATCTCGTCTTCATCTATGTCTTCTGTGCTCTGTTTTTGCCTCGTTGAATCGAACACGGACGGCCTTTGTAAAAATAAATAATAAATTCAATAAAATTTCTTACATACTGTTTTAATTTCTTATTAATTAATGTGCGTAAATATTAGAGGAAAAATGTATATATATATATATAGAACAACTGATGGCAAAGATTAATTTTAGTTTTTAACTTTTTCTGTCCAATGGACATTAAGGTGTCAACATGGATGTGCCAGGTAGTGAAAGATGGCATCTGTCATGTCAGACAGGAATTTTTCCTGGAAGATCCAAGTTTTCTAATTCAAACTCAAATCTGAGTAGCCAGGATGACACCTTCTCACCTTGGCGATCTAGATACAACTATTAACCCTTAAAAAGTTTGAAAGATAGGGCTTTTTCCTTGCTTTAAAGATACAGTAATGTTTTAAAACATCAGTACTATATACTGATGCATTTAAAATAAGACTTTCTCCTTATTCATTTAAATATATATTGGAGAGAGTAAAATGAAAATAAACTAAGGTCTACCATATTGCACAAATACTTGTTTACAAGTTAAAAACATTTATTCCACCTTTTAACTAGGTTGTAAATTACTGCTTCATAGGAGACTGCAGTAACAAAAAATGTTTGAGTCTGCGCAGCTCCATTAAATGCTGATTTTTTTTTATAAATGTGAGCCTCTGCTCATTGAGTTTTCCAGCTGGCCATATCAGTAATGCTGCATATTATTGATATTCTCAGGATATCACAATGTCCTGTAAAGAATAAGCACCCAAGTCTTTAGATGGATGCGGTTATCTTTCTGCATGACATGTGCTGCCTCATGTTGCAAAATCCAGCATGGACACATTCAAGAAGTTTAAGTTGGAAGCACAGCCATCCATAGTATAATCCAAATTTTTGCATCTCTCAAATGGGCACAAGGAAAATGTTTTATATAAGATCAACCTATGCAGGAGGCTGTCAAACATTACATCACAACTAGTATTTTTCAATAATTTCAAACCCAGTTAAAAGGCAGGATAAATGTCTTAATTTTGTTATGTTTGTACAGATATTTGTGATTTAAATGTGACAAATCTCTGTCCCATTTTCATTTGACTCTCCCTAATAATAATATGTCTATATCTATACTAATATATAAAGCAAGAATGTTTGTTTGTTTGCTAGAAGTAATCTTGGAATCTACCAAACCAAATTTTAAAATTTTTTCACTGTTGGGTCTAAGATTGACAGAAATATTTATGATATAAATTAACGAAAGGATTAGAAATATATATGGTATTGAATTTTATAACAGGTATGTGGATGATTGTATTATCATATTTGATAATAGAAAAACAAATGAGAAGTTAATATTGGAACAAGCTAACCAAATTAATATCCAGTTTGAAATAGAAACAGAATGACAAAATAGTATTAATTATTTAGATATAACAATAGAAAGAAAAGATAAATTAGTATATAAAAATACGTCAAGACTATGCAGATACCTAAAGTTTTAATTATAAGTCAATTGTACCAATAAGTATGAAATTTAATATATTTAAAATGTATATATAGAAAAAATAAGAAATAGAACAAGTAAATTAGAAACCCAAAATACAGAAACAGAAGAAAAAATAAAAATGTTCATACTAAACGATTACCCAAAGATACTACTAGAAGAATGGATATAGAAGATAGTTGATGATGTACAAGGAAAAAACAATTTGATAAAGAAAAATATTTTGTGAAATTAATGTATATACCAAAATTATTTGAGAGCTAAGAAAATATTAGCTAATAAAATAAATTTAATACTGGAAAAAATGGACTCAATCAAAAAATATTTATATTATAGAAATAAAAAACAGGGAATAACAGAAGAAAAAGTAGTGTATTCATTTGATTGCAACTGTGGACAAAGAAAAGTATATATAAGAGAAACAAACAGAAAATTAAAAATATGTATAAAGGAACATATTCGAGACATGAAAAGAAATTATGCAAATTCAGCCATAGCAGAACACTGCAATAAAAAAGGGTGTGAAATAAATTTAAATACAGTTAAAATAAAGAAAACAATAATAATAATTTTAAAAGACAACTATATGAACATATTTACATAAAAAGAAAACAACAGAATCAATAACAACTTGGAAAGAGAAATCCACCAATCATGAAGCATTATTATCAACACAGGGAGTAATAAGTAGAGAGATTTATAAAGGGAATGAAAGTAGCAATAAGGTAATTATACAAACAAAGATAGGCAAAAGATATGTAAGTTTAAGAAAATGTTTTAACCACTCCTTTTTTAAATACTTAAAATTTTTAAATTTATGTTTATTATACTTAGATTTATTGCTTGAATATGATAAGAATTTTCGTATTGATTTATCATGTTTACTCACATATAGGACAAGGTGTGACTTTAAAGATCAAAATAAAGAAAATTAGATTTATTAATACAATTCTAATTTTATTTCATTTAATCACAAGTAAAATATCAAATGAATGTAAATGCACACATTGTCTTGCAAAAATTATTGGCATTTTAAACTAAGGAAAAATCTTGTAAAATCAAGAACATAATATAATTTTCATGTAAAGCTGGACAATTGAGAACCTTTTTTTTGCCAATTCTTAACAGTTGAATCCACTCTCCATCAATAACACTTACGAGTTTCTCCGAATAATCATCTGTTTTCATGTGGAAATAGATTAAAACTTATATCGTGCTCCTGTGTGATTTTGGAATTTCAATCTGAAATTCAATTCAAAAGCTTTGCTTTTCCTATTGCAATTCATCTTTACTCCTGATAATATACAAGAATAATTCAAACGACCCAGATAAAATACTTATATTTTTAAATACAAGAGGGTAAGCATCCAGTAAAAAATGCGAATACACAGTTCACAAAAATTATTAACATAAATACAAAGAATCTTTCGCTCACACGTACAGGACGACCTAGGAATTTGAGGCTGTGATAAATGAATAAAAACCTTGTCTTATATGCGAATAAATATGATATTTCAATCTTGCTATAATTAATCACCAAAAATCTGTAATTCATTTTAAATTATATTATTGTCAAGAAACATTTTTTAGAATATTGTTTTATTCTGGTATTTTTGAAACTGTGCCGGTAATTTTTAGTAATTTGAACACAAATCATTTATTGTATTCATTCAGACACTTGGCAAATCTCATCATTAAATTTTATTTAGTTGATACATGTTCATTGCATTTGTACACGCTTGTACATGTTTACAAATACAATGAACACGTATCAAATAAATAAAATTTAATGATGAGATTTGCCAAGTGTCTGAATAAATACAATAAATGATGTGTGTTCGAATTACTAATATTGTTTTAATTTTATAAAAACTTGTTTTAGAACCTCATTAATGTAAACCTGCTGATGAGGGACATCAAGGTCCAAAACACATAGTGTGTACAGGTGAAATAAAAGGTGAACAATAAAGATTGTTTTTTTGAATAAGTTTCCTCAATTTGCAAAAACTGGACACCAGTACAACAAGTCCTAATAATATGATATGTCCTAGTAGACATTTATATAATAAGGTGTATAGTATTTTTGTGTATTCATTGTTTTAATATTAATCCTACTGTACCATTATTTAAAAATAAGGATGTTTTAAGTATCAAAATATCTACCTACATAAATTTAGTTATTTTGGTTACTTTTCAGGTGTACATGCGTGAGTGAGCCTTATTGATAATAAAATGCCTAAAAGTCACAATTGTCACAAAATACATCCGTGTCATGGAACTATTGGAAAGCTTATTACTTTTCAACATACAGTTTTTTAAGCTACCTTAATTAAAATTCAGACACTTCATTCCTTCCTGTTGATTTCATATTCCCTACAAACTCCCAAACCCAATCTGGAACAAATTCTGCACAGTGTTTTCCCAGTACACTATGAAAAACATGGACTGCCATAAAAATTCAGGCTCTTCACTCCTCTCTGATTTCATACCCTACCCCCAAACTCTCAAATCATTTGAGTGTTCTGAACATGTTTTGCATAGTTAGTCTCTACAATCCTCCAAAAAATATATGCTACTTTAAAACTTGGACTCTCATTCATTCCTGATCCCCACAAACTGCCAAACTTTTTGATTTGCATAAAATTTTGATAGTTACTCTCTGCCACCCTGTAGGAAATATATGCTACCCTATAATGAGGACAACTCAACCCTCTCCCTGAGTTCCCAGGCAATGCTGGGCATTCTTTATTAATATTCCATATGTTTATAACAAAAAATTCCCCCACCAAGCACGACAAACTACTTTCTCATAGAAAGTAGAGATTGAAGAATTGAGAAGAGTACATATTTCAAGAAAAAAAAAACTAATATTTCTACAAATTCAATAGCTTATACTGTCTGTCAGAACATAATTGAATAATAATAATTTAATTTAAATGGCCTTTTTCATCTTGTTACTTACCATTGTCCTTGACTTTTAATGTACTTGATTTGTTCTTTGTACAGAATATGTGATATTTCTCCTTTTACTTTATGACCTTCTTTTATTGGTTTAATTATCACAAAATCACCTAAAATTATTCAAATTTATTAATCATGTTAAGAATTATTCACATGTTATACAATCATTTCAATTATCCTACCTCTTTTAATCCATATAATTTTTCTAAACTTGGTTGGCATGCTAGCAAGAAATTTTTCACCATCTGCTGTTACTACTTCATGTAAATTATTGCCACGTCCACAAGTTACCTATATATTATCATTTATTCATAATTAATTAATAAATTAAACAATTATAATTTTGTAAAAAAAATATTATTGAAATATTAATTGATATATATTTTGAGAAGTCTTGAACATGATCTGAATAATTCTGAGATACTGTGAGCATCCATAAAACATAGACTTATACTAGAGACTCTGCCTGATTGCTTTTGGCAGTCTGATCCAGTGTTTCACATCACTTTACAGCCTGCTACACATTATTAAAAATTAAAAGAAGAATCTTTTGTAAGAATAAAAAGTTCTTTACACAAGATGTTAAACATCAAGTTAACTAGTCAAATGCTATTATTATTTATTACTTATATAACTTAATTATAAATTTCAACACTTATTTTCATTTATAAAGTAGTCTATAAATACAGTCGATCCCTCTATAACACTGTTGATAATTCCATTTTATATGAATTCCATGTTGTATGAGTCACTTAGATTTTACAAATACGTGTGCCGGGCTGTGAACGGCTCACGTATTTGTAAAATCTATGTGACTCGTACAACATGGAATTCATATAAAACTGAATTATCAACAGCGTTATAGGGGGGGTCGACTGTAATGCATTTCTAATCTATTAAAATAAATTGATATGGATTTTTATTAGTTTGTATATTCCAAAATATGACCTGAAAATTATCCCTTTAATATCTCAAAAATAGAATTTTCTTATTTCTTGGGTGTTTTATTTCCTTCTCCTAAACTTAATCACAATTTTATAGCAGTACTTTATTATTTTCACATAACACTAATAATTATTACTAATATTATATAATTAAGACATTGCTTTGTGAAATACCATAAAATTACATAAAAACTGGATATTTTAAAAAATTTTTATAGATATTTTACATTCACAAGTTTAGATTAATGCTAAATAAATGCAATACTCTTATTATATCGTACAATAACATTATATTTGTCAATAGTCTATAATTATTTACTTACCTTTTTCACAACACAATTTAAAAAAAAAAAAAGCAACTCTTGAATATATATTAGGTAAATATTTTACAGACTAATTAATCTTAACATTAATCTAAATTTTACATATATATATCTTCTATGTTTAACATTACTTTTCCCCATAGAAAAAGCATAAAAATTTGATAGAATGCACCAAAATACAACCATAATGGAGCAAAACTAGAAATTTTGCTTCCACATTTTTTCCAACCATCTGTCAACACCATCCACCGGCTTGTAGTATAATGTAGGTCACATTCAGGATCACTTAGTTCATTGCTTACAAGGAGAATGTCACTACATGCAAGTTTACAATACTGAGTACTAATATTTATTTGTTAGTTAAACACATGCTATTTACCTATGTAAGAGGATATTTCTTTTTGGTCAATTTTTCTAATTTTTCATAAGAAAGTAAAACAGACTATTTGACAAGCAGAGTGAAGGTATAAAGCTGATTAACAGTGACATTATTGCAGTATGACAAAATGTGCCGATATCCTTCAGCCTTGCGATTGCTACTTTTCTATTATGATGTCACATACAAATAAAAAATCAAGGAAAAAAATTAAGAATATGGTATAAAAAACAGCACAATACTCTTCATATCAGTGTCATTAAATCACTTGCAAATGCTTATGCCTATTGAAGATAATTGTAGAAACAATCCTTTAATGAATGTTTCTCATAAATTGAAACTATAAGTAAAATTCATAGTTAAGATAACTATAACTAAAACTCATATGGAAATAAAAGAAATAGTCTACATAGGAAAAGACACAAATATGAGTAAAGAATTATGTGTAACTAAACAGGCTACAATTATGTACAGATATCCTTCATACAACATGGTTTCAATCCTCCATATGAAATTTCACAACTTTTAAGTGCAAACTCCTTTATTCAATATTTTTTTTAAAATCAAGTAAGCATGCCTGTTATCTCAAATTTATCTACAGTTTTTAGAATATTAAAATTTTCAATTAGTTTTGTGTTTTTCATCAGGTTTAATGAAAACTGATAGTGCAATTTTTTTCCTTCCTTGTCCTAGTTTTCCTATAAACTGAGTGTCATTGTCATTGCTTTCAGACTTTAGCCTTTAAGACTGTCACTGTGTTTTCATATTTCTTAGGTGTTAAACATTGATTTTATTGCTTTAATTTTTGTATTTAAACATTTTTAGGTTAGTGTTATTAACCTTTTTTTTAACCATAGGAAAGTAATCATTTGTAAAAATGATGAACAAAATACAGCAGTATCGCGGTACTTGAACTGTTCCCAACTCAAACGATTTGGTATTCGAATGCAAATTCTATTCTGTCATACATAAAAAATTTTTATGGTTAAAAAAAATGAAGACATTGCTGATATTTCTGATCAAGATCAACAAAATGGTCAATGACGATGATACTTTGTAAAAAGAAAACACCCTCACTTAACTAAAATTAATATTAACACATAATACAGTATTTTTAATTGTGATTGTTAGTTAATTATTGATTGAAATAAATTATTAATTGCTTTAATACACACTTTTCTCTTAGTAACAAAAAAGAATAGTATACTTGCTAATTTTTGGAACATAACCCCATGTCTTGTATAGCTCAGATTTGCATAAAATGACACTTTTTCAGAACATAATTATTGTGTTATAAGAGGGATATCTGTATTACATGTTTAATTAAACTATACTGTTTTAAAATGCATTAAACATTTCTGTATATTAAGCAATAATAAAATTTCTTACAAATGCTTATATGTATTTGAATGGATTTGAGTAACAAAAATCAAAATGCCATTCAAATCATACATGATAAATGAAAGTACATTGCCTATACTTTGTAAAGTATGAGTTTTTTAATTAATAGTAACATGTTTTTGTTTTAGAATCAAATTTTTTATTTTATGCATAGAGTATGTTCTATTTATTATTTTTTCATGAAAGATAATTACTTTCTTCATTATCTTTATTCACTGGTTGGTGAAAAAACTAAAATCAAGTATTAAAATTCTCTGGTTGTAAAGAAAAAAGTTCATTTGCATATTTAAATAATACAGAATTTAAAAAAAACTACACTTTTGTATATAATTTTTAATTGTAATATATTAACTATGAAATTCAAGTTGGTAGTGTTTTAATATATATGTATTTGTTAAAGTTACTAAAAAAGATTATATTAATTAAACAAATAAGGCAATGTGATTTAGTGATTAAAAAAAAAACTAACGCTTGCTAGCAATTGTATGGCACAAGAATATTGGCATGTTTCATCATAACACGACATTATTGCTAATAAGTTTTAATTAAACCTTCACCCCGTTCATCAAATAGTTTGGGTTTTACTTTCTTATGAAAAAAATAGAAATATTGATCATAGAGAAACATCTCAGATAGACAAATAGAATGTGTTTAACTACCAGATAGATGTTAGAGCTTGTGTGTGTAGTGACTTATAACATCATGTTTAGTGATATTATATAAATCACAAAAAAGCAAATGATAACGACACGACAACTCATAAAAAAAAGAGAAAAAACATTTAGCCATAGGCCTATTAAGTAATACTGTATGTTTTCACAATATTACAAGTAGACTGTAGAAGAGTTATTAGGATGTAGACCTAGCGTATCGGATTAAAGATAAACCTTCACAATATAATAAAATAATGGTGGATAAAGTAAATAAGATAAGCCGGTCTTCTTTAAACAAATAATATATTTTCAATTATGGGAATGTCATAGTCTATGTACTCACTTTAACGATCCGATCCCCATCTTCGGGTAGGACGTAAGTATCCAAGACTTCTTTAACCACGTGCTTATCTTTTGTTGTTTTTGTCATTATTAACCGACGATAGACCCTGGAATATCCAAAACAAAGAATTAAACTATAATTAAAATAGGTCATTTAAAGCGAATAAAATTAAGTTATTCAATCCGTTTTGACCAAGAATTTTTCACTCACATGTTATTAATACGGTTTATAAAAGAAAAATTTGTTTTGTATTCCGTAAGAGCAAACTTACCTTCGGGAATAATACGAGAAAAGTTGGAAATATAGGAAAAGTGTCGAAAATTACGACAAATCCCGCTTCCATTACCTTCGAAAGAGAAATCTCTATTATAATTAACGGATTCGACTACAGCGGCAAAATACAAAACAGCCCAATAATCTCCGTTCGGACGGAAACGTTAAATTAAATCGTTGAAACACGTGGTTTATTAATCATGTTTATATTGTATTTAAAAATAATTGTTATTTATGTAAAAATTAAATATTGTATATGTGTATGAAAAACGAAAATGATTTGTTTTTCACGTCGATAAATATGTTTCTAATGGAAAAATAAGATTGTCTTTCGTTTTTATAATTATCGCGGAATTTTTAATAATTGGAAAATAAAGATAATTAGAAGCATCACCCATTGCTCGGAATGATTCTTTTTACTCTCGTTTTGATCGGTTAGTTGGACACGAGCTTCTAGGTTATAACGCCCTATGGTAAAGTGTGACGTAATTGTCATGTAGACTAATAGTAGTAGTGTGCGTTTATAATGGTCGTTGCGCGGGGATTAATGCCTTCCGGGAAGTCTTTTAGGGTAACTGGCCCCTATTCAGGCGTTACAAACTTGAAGAAAACTCGGAAAACTCCACGCGGCCAGCCTGTCTGGGCGGGGCGCGAAACCACGACCGAATTCCCAGTGTTTAGGGAACGGAACCACTTAGGTCACTGGTGGGCCTTCTTTTTAGTCTAATCACTATTTACAGTCTCTGCCATCTGTTTCGACTACCACCTTGCGTCTGACAAAGACTGATCCAAGAACAAAGTGCTTCGTGTAATAAAATATCGCTTTAACCCAGGAATCATTGGGCGCGTTGTCTAGTAAGACAGCTTTAATACAGCTGGCTAAGCAATTCAAGACCCTTAGTTCGTTTCAAATATTAATAAATGAAACTGATCGTATCATTGATTTCTTTATCCGGCTTTATTAGGCAACTCGCCCATTATTACCAATGCGTCGGCCTTATCTGTAAATGATTCGTACAAATATGGCTGCCGTGACAGTTCGCTTTCGTGTATTTCGAATTAGTTTAACCAAATAAATATGAAATATTATAATTTTTATCGTTATTCTAGTTTTTATTCGTTATTTTTGAATAGGCGAAAGAAAAACCAGCTTTTAGTAACAAAATCAACTTCCGATTTAAAAACAGCCACTAAAATTAAGTCTTATTAGTCTAAGTCGACTCTGTCATTAAAAACATGGGATTACAGTACATGCGAATTTGACGTGATATTAAAACAGTCGTGTTGCTATTCCCATTTCCAGCAAAATCATCTGATCCTTATACTTGTACCCTGAACTGCTAATATAGTATATACAGCATCATGATTATTCTTGAGAGCAATTTACAAAATTTCGACCTGCTACTTTGTTTCTCGATAATCCGACATTTCGAATATCAATCAAGGGACAAGATTAATTCTGAATGAGACACGGAAATACAGGATTATCGCTACACCACAAAATTCAAACTAAAAACAAAAATTAAGTTTTTCCCGCCACAAATACTTTCCTTAATAGCTACTGTACCTTATGTTACAAGCATTCAAAGATAGAAATATCTTTTTCATGCAAGGATTAAACCGCCGATAGGTAGGTTATACCCGACGATAAAAACGTTTTAAGAAAATAAAAATATTTCTTCCCATTAAATTAACTTATTTTAGAAGGAAAGAAAAGGAATAGGAAAACTATCTGTGAAGCAAAAGACTACTTGTATTGTGCGTATACTGTCATGGCGGCTCATCTCTGATTCCAGCAAACAAAAGAAAGGAAACAGTGGGGACGCACGTTCTAACCTAACCTAACCTATTCTAATAAATTACCATAATTATTACCAACCAAATTATTAGAATAGGTTAGGTTAGGTTAGAACGTGCGTCCCCACTGTTTCCTTTCTTTTGTTTGCTGGAATCAGAGTTAACTGATTCCAGGAAACGTGCGTCCCCACTGTTTCCTTTCTTTTGTTTACTGGAATCAGAGATGAGCCGCCATGACAGTATACGTATCTGGACTTTAACCTATTGTGCTTATATACGAAAACGAATAGCAAATAAGTCATCCGGAATTCTGTCAACAATATTGAAAACTCTTACCTGAGTTATAATTCTTCTGAAAAATGGCGATGAGAAAAATTTCTGGCTGTCCGGTCACTTCTAAATTTCACCTTTTAATAATCGAGATCAGTCTTAAAACTTCGAAGTTTTTCGTAAGTTTCTATTGCGACAAAGCGGAACGAACGTCTGATCGCTAACACAGTCAAACCAAAAATTATTCAATCTGGGCTGTGTGGGCTTCAGTAACAATAAAAACTAAATCTGATTGGCTAAGAGGGTTCCGCCCTTCTACCAATCAGATTTGTTACTTATTGTTAGTATAATTACAGTACTACTAAGATGCATTCCGAGAAGTGAGTGCGGCTATTTGTCCAGAGCAGTGTTTTTCAACGGGGGCGATATCGTCCCCATTTGGGCATTTTTCCATGTTGAGGGGCGATTTGTAACAATTTATATTTTAGGGGGTGGCGAAAAACAATTTTCTGGGCGATATAGTAAAACATTATATTAAGAATAATTAGATATTTTTTCATTATATCGTACAATAACATTATATTTGTCAATAGTCTATTCAATGCAGTGCGAATTTGATGTTAGTCTTGACCCTCGGTATCGGAATTTTGAAGTGAAGGGGGTACTACTACGTAACAGTTTTATTGAAGGGGGCGATACTACGTTGAAGGGGGCGACGATTCGTTAGAGGTTGAGAAACACTGGTCTAGAGGCACTTGCTCATTAGGAGCGCTTAGATAAAGCTAGGACAAAGGCCTACAGCCAGTGGCGTAGCTAGGGGGTTGCGGTAGTTGCAATCCGCAACGGGCCCCTGGAAAACGATAGGCCCATGGGGGCCCCAAAATCACAGGGAAAAAAGAACTGAAAAATTTTTCATGGCAGTCAGAACAAAGAAAAATTTGGCATTTGGCTGCTCGAGCTGCTGGGGCCCCTATTACACAGGAAAATATCAACTCAACATTAATCTAGTTATACACTATATAAACTACTACACAAAAATATTTTAGTCTGTTTACAGGGGTCCACAAATCTGGTTCCGCACTGGGCCCGGAGAACCCTAGCTACGCCACTGTCTACAGTAGGATGAGTTTAAACAAAAAGAATAGAAAATTGATATGTAACTTGATAAATTTGTAACTTGTAAATTATATTGATAAATATAATTAAAAACCTTTCTGAATATAATTACATTCAGAGAAACTGTTGAGTCTTTTTTTTTTCAAAATTACAGGGCCTTGTTTTCGAATAAATGGTTAAAAGGAAGTTTTACTTTCTGTTTAGAATTTTATTTAATTTACAACAAAAGATTTTTTTTTTATAACATACAGAAATAATTGCCCTTAGAAACAAATTCTTCCTAAAGAAAAATGCCCTGTCATACATGGGGCCCCAAATTCAAATTTGTCGGGTCTCACGTATCTATAACGCTTCACTGACTAATACCTATTTCCGCTCCTTAATGACCATACAATTAGGCTATTGTATTCGAATTGTATCGTGGTTCACTTCACACTGGGGTTTCTCAAACGAGATCCCGGGATCCCGGTTGTTTTTTTAATCCGGGAAATATCCCGGGAAATCCCGTAAATTTCTTAAAAGTTCACTTTTTTCTTACTTTGTGTTAAGGTTGAGGAAATTTTACAAATAGAAAGTATAATTAATACATAAACTGTCAGAATACATTTGTATTTATTAATTTTAAACCTACTTATTAGTTTTTTTTTTTTTTTTTTTTT